TACAGTGAATTCTTCGCATCCAGCCAGGACCTTAGTCATAACTTTTCCAAAAAAATATGGGGCATTTTTTTTAATCCAAAGGGCAAACGTAGAGGTCTGAAACTTCCAAAACTAGTTACAAATGTTGCATATGTTTGCGCACTTTCTGCTAATGGAATCTACCAGTAGCCTCTAGATAAATCTATTACAGTAATATATTTTGCTTTTGCTACAGTTTCGATACGTTCTTCAATATTAGGTATAGGATAGTATTCAGTTTTAGTAACAGCATTGAGTTTACGTTAATCAATACAAGGTCGAGGATTCTTTGACGAAGATTCCTATCAAAATCATGGGAGATGTATAGTCCGATTCTCCCGGCTCTATAATTTTTAAGATCGAGCATTTTCTGATATTTTCCTTTTTGAGAATTTCAGTCTGTCGGGGTGACAGTCTGTATGGTTAAGTTTTCTGGTTTTCGGCATTTATTGGTTCATTATTTAATAGTTCAATATCGTGACAACTAAGTTTGTTAGTCCAGGATTATTTGAAAAACAAACCAGAATATTTTCCATAAAACCTTTCATATATCTTATGTTTTGCTCATGTTTCAACCTTTTCTCGAGTTCATTCTTCTCTATGATGTCCGAGAAATTTAATGTATTTGGATTGGAAGTTAAACGAGGAATGTCCATTTCTAAGTCTCCTTCCACTTCAGTTATCATATTAATCATTTCTGGTCTTTTGTAATATGGTTTAAGCATGTAATGTGATATACTTGATTTGGCTCATTTTGTTCCTCGAAACTTACAATATAATTGGTTTCTGAAATTTTCTGCTCTATTTTTCCAGGTCCTTTCCACTGTACTTCTAGTTTATTTGACGATTCGTTGATAAAACAAGAACTAAATCTCCTCTAGCAAACTCTCTTTTCACTGCGTTTCGATCGTACCATGTTTTCCTCCGTTGTTGAGTTTCTTTCATGTTTTCCACGGCAAGTTCTTGGCATTTCTTCATTCGATTAATAAGTTCGAAAACGTTAACTGACAACATTATTACTTTCTTCAATCGGTTCTAGCCACTGCTCATAAAGTAAAGTGACTGGCGTTCGTAGGTTTTGCCATGAACCTAATTCTGCTGGTGTAAAACCAGTGCCTTTCGTGTGTGACTGTTCTGAGAGCAAAAAGAACTGATGGTAGATAATTCTCCCAATCCGAAGTCGCTCCTATACATACGACTCTTAACACCCTTTTTAGACGTTCTATGGAATCGCTCAACGGGATTACTCTGCGGATGATACACAGAGCTTCTTGCACATGTTTAATGCCGAAACGCTCCAAAAATTCCTCTGTCAAAGCACTGACGAAAGAGGTGGACCCCTGATCTGTTTGGATCACTTTTGGGAAACCCATACGACTGAAAATCTGTAAGAAAGCATCAATCACAGATGGCGAAGAAATGTTGGCTGTTGAGGTGACAGATGAATTACATCTGTCCCCGCGACAGCATCTGGATATTTGGACGACATACACAGAGCTGTAATAATATATTTTTTTCCAGTCTTTGAAATAGGTAGCGGACCAACGGCATCGACATTTATTTAGTGAATATTTCGGAAATTACTGGTACTAATGTCATTGGAGCCTTCTTTTGTCATTTCCTTTTCCAGCGCGCTGACAAGCATCACAGGTTCTTACAAAATCTTCAGTTTCTTTGTAACACCCTCGTCCAGTAAAAATATCTAGCAAGTCTGTCTTTGGTCTTTTTGACACCCAAATGACCAGAAGTTCCTTCGTGGCACATCTTTATAATTGACGGCTTGAGTTTTTCAGGTATAACGACAAGCTGTCTTTCAAAGCCCATTTTATCCGTCGTTTTTTTTAACTAAAAGTTCTTTTCCTGTCAGACTATAGTTCTCATTTTTGCATGTACCTTCTTTAACTTCTTGGATGATTTTAGACAGTTCCTTATCAGCAAGCTGAAGTTGTGCAATTTCTTTGAGTCAATGTTTACCAGTTTCCATGAGAGCTTCATCTTCCGTGTTTAAGTTCCGGTAAATTATCTTCTTCTTCAAAAACATCTCTGGATGCTTTATTTTCTTCCTTCATCGGTTCCAAGATCTTCCCTCACCGCTTCAGCTATTTCTCTTTTCCTTTGAGCTCTAGTAGAGACAGCATTAACCTGGTGAGGACAACTATCAGGTTCCTTTCTTTGTTTATTCAACAGTGCAAAAGTTCGATTGCCTAATAAATACCTTCCTTTGTCGAGTTCATTTCTAATAATGGCAGCCTTAGTTAGTACTCGCCCAAGATCGCAATTTAGTTCGATCTCAGCCAATGGTAAACAGGTTGGATTTCAAGTCTAATGGCTGTTGCACCCACACATTTTCACCTGTCAGCATTTTCCGGCGTGATGTATTTGCGACAAACTATATCAATACTAGCACCTGAATCCCTTAATATAGGAATTTTATGACCATTTACGTAACCCATACTAGTATAAGGTAATAGAAATTTATCCTCTGGTTTTGCACTAATTCTGTTAAGATTAGCAGGAGATTCAGTACTATTCTTAAGTTTTGGACATTGGGGTCTTAAATGTTGATAGGACCCACACTGATAAGCATAACATTGTGGCGTCTTTCGTTTTTCATATTATCATCTGGACGTGGACTTCTAGGTCTATAAAACCAGCTTTGCGAATTAAATCCTGATGACATTTTTTTTCAGTTTTATTTTTATTATCTGAACTCACTTTACCTTGAGTTAGTGCATTGTATCTTTCTTTCTGCCGATCCACTACAGGCCTTTTTTGAAAGTTTCCGCGAACGTTTTCATAGGCATCAAGTTTTTCAGCTAATTTTTTAGATGAAATCATCTCTACCCACTCATCAAGAAAATGATCTCGAATTTCAGGAGGAACTCGACGCTTAAGTTGGTCAATCACCATCAAATCTAGCAACTGATCAAAAGTCTTAACTCCTAGACCAGTCACCCATTCTTTGCAATAATTTTCTATTTCATAGTTGAAATCCACCCATGTGGATTCGGTACTCTTTTGATGTTTCATAAATTTCTGCCTAAACTTTTCCGGGCTTAGTTTAAACCGTCTTAACAATAAAATTCTTTACGTGTTCATAGTCTTTAGCTTTATCGGAGGGTTCTCTAGCTATTAACTGGGTTACTTCGTAAGGAAGTAGTCCTAGTAAATGAGATACAAATTCTTCTTTATCAATTTGAGCCCATTCTGCTTGCCTTTCAAACAATAGCAATACAGACTGATATCTCTTTTCTTGTCATCGAATTTCTGCATAAGGTGATGTAGCTCCGTTTTCGGCCGGACCTGTCCGGTAGTTCGAGACTTTGTCTCTGCTTCAAGTCATAATCTCTCTAATTCATACTATTCTTTCCTTCTCCGCTCTTCTGCTTCTTCCTGTCTCCTACGTTCTTCTCTTTCCTTTTCCTCCTCTCTTTCGTTCTTCTCTTTCCCTTTCCTCCCTCTCTTCCGTTTCTCTTTCCCTTTCTCCCTCTCTTTCGTTATTCTCTTCCTCCCTCTCTTTCCGTTTTCCCTTCCTCCCTCACTTTCCGTTCTTCTATTATTGTCTAAGACTCCTTTGACGAATACTTCATCATAATCTCTACTTTCAACAATTTTCTGTTTTAAATCGACTATTTTCAAATCTGCAGTCACATGAACTCCCAGTTCAGCCGCGAGATTTTGCAAATCTTCCTTACGAGTTCTTCCTAAGTAAGACATTGTTTCTATGTTTAAAATTAACGAACACTGTTTTCTTTATATTTCCTCAAAATAGCTCAATTCAATTACTTTAATTAATTAATGCAGTCAGGAATCACGAATTAATGCACTTTGTTAAGTACGTATACCTCAAAAATGAAATATTTAATTATATGAAGTTCATTCTCTCTACCAACATTAATTGTGATTAAAATAAGAATAATAACATAGAGCAATATATATATGTCTACCGTCTGCACAACTAAATGAATATTAAATATAATATCAAATACGGTAATAAATAAGACAATTTAATATGAACAGGAAATATAATATGGTATCGCTAATATTGCGTTCAGTGATGAACTAATAAATAAAGCAATTCTATATGAACAGGAAGTAATAATCTGGTATCACTAATATTATGTTCAGTGATGAACTAATAAAATAAAAATACGCACGATTATTCGATCTTGGTCGGTTGCCTCCAAATAATTAGACTGTGATACTTCTTTGACGAAAATGAAGCAATTCCAATGATGGAACACAGCAATAACTTTTATTTAACACTCAAAAAAATGGCGACATACAAACAAGAAAGAGAAAACATATTCTAACATTTAAAAATAAATTACATTCTTCGTGCGAGAGTCGCACGTGGCACTCGAGTCTGGTTTCGAATATTGCCATTCACAAATAACTTAATGTTCATCTATTTAAATTATTTAAACTACAAGATTTTAATACTATTTAAAGCTGTTACACCTCTGGCGAAAGAGACAAAAAGTAATCAGTTGAACGGCTGACGCGTCTAACAGATGTATAACGACAGACCGTCTCCGTATAAATTATGCTTGTAATCATTATAACTTGTAAATATTTTGTAGATATCTTTCATACGAATTAAAATTTCTTAAAAAGTTTATAGCTGTGTTGCGCAGTAAATCGAAGTTCATCATAGAGACAGATACCGACAAGAAGGAAAGAAGGCAGTTCAGGGCAGCCCTATTTAGAAGGTAAGTGAACTTTCACTTATCTATTTAATGATCAAAAAATTTTAATAGTGCAAAGTTGATAAAATTTTTTAACAAACATAGTAATAATAGTAATATATAGTAATAGATATTAGTATAATTGCAAAGCACAGAGCATGCAGAATGCGTACAGGATAAATAAGAACATCTAAATATTTAGATGTGCTAGTTAATTGGTTAAATATTTCAGTTTGCTCATACTTAGAATAAATTAGAAGCATCTAAAATTAAGAAAAAATGTTTTTTTCTTACGTATTGTATAGGCGTTTCTTCTACTACAACTTGAGTGTTAACTTCACAGTATGCATATTTGATTAGAAAAAAAAGTAGCACCTAAAATAGCAAAAATGAATATAATAAATGCTAAAAAGTTTATTTCAGATTAAATACTTGTGCATAAAAAATGTCTAAGATGCATTGCAAAAATCCACCGAAATTTCTGGCAAACTATCTACTTTTGAGCTTCAGGCTTCAAGAAGGAATTAATAAAGAAACAATACACATCCAAGATTCTTAATTAAAAACGTTTTCATATGTAGCATATAATTCTACTAAGCACGTCGACAGAATACTGCATCCTAATACCTAAATTTAAAGAACATTCGTTTTACGACAACAATGAACTGAAACAAATATTGTTGCCACTCACAAACTATATTAATATAATATCGTTTGTATTTACGCAAAGCTAATGCTCTTATGGGAAAATAACTAAATTCTTTAATAAGCAGACGGTAACCACAAACAACAGTAGTGTATTTTTTCTTCTGAATAACTAAATGCATTGATGTTAAGTAACAGTGGTCGAATAATAAACAAAATCAATACCTCATGAATTATAGTTTTATATAAATAATCTCACTTTACTTTGCAGTTAGAAGAAAAATACAAAACCATGATGGATTTAAAACATCATTACAATGGCTCCCCAGAAGCATTCGTACACTATAAGAAATTGCAGAAAAAGTACTGTAGCTCGGAACTAAATTAGAATATAAAGGTATATCCTAATTTTATAACAGCTATTTTAAGTTTATACCACTTTCCTACCTCTCCTAGCTAGGAGAAAGTATCTATGTCAAAGTTCCACTGTGAAGAGAGAGAATTAGGATTTCTGAATAGCGCGCATTTGTCTTTTACTACGTCTCTCTAAATGTTACTACGCTCGGCCGTATTACGTGCCGTTTGACAGCTTCACTAGCTAATTCATTATTACGGGCCAACTAGGTTAGAATTTATGTTAGCTTCGGCTAAATCTCTTTAGTTAGTCATTGGATAGTTCTTATTTCTTACATTTGAAGTTAAGCCTAAGTAAGGCTTTGTTGTACGCTCTGAGAAAGGGGCCATCGGTGAATCTCTGATTTGAGCAATAAAGGTTAATAAACCCTTCTTGAGTTTACGTTTCTGTTCTTTGACTTCAGCAATTATTCGCTTAGTAGTTCACTAGGTTCCTCAACACTTAGTTTAGTATAATAAAAGCGAGGAACATTACAAGCTCAATATTTTTCATATCATCTCCATGTGATTTTAAATAAATCTAAACATTTTTTTTTTTTGTTACTACTGACTTATTTTCCTTTTTTATATTTGGAAAATGTAAGGAGGCATAGATGCGTCACAAAAGGTCATGCACCCAAACAGCTTAGTAAAATTTCATAAATAAAATTATCGTCTCCCACTTTTTAAAAAAATTTTGCATTTTGGTAACATTTAACAATTTTCTTGGCTTTATTTTTTGCTTGTTTACTTCGCTATATTTTATTTTATATTTAAAAATGGGTCGCAGTCGAAATGAAACAACAAATATCATTCGATAATTGATCATTTTTCATCATAAGGGGGGAAATCGATCTGGGACCGCTAAATTAGTAAATTTATCCCATTCTACGTTGCAGTATATGATAAATCGCTTTAAAGAAGAAAATCGGATCGAAAATAAAGAAGAAGTCATCTTGCAAAGTTAAAGTAAGGCAATCAGAGATTTGTAGTTAGAAAATTTGTGAAAAATCCACGTTTGCGTGCTGTAAAGATTTCTGCAGAATTTACTGAAGCATTTTCTACTTTAGTTTTACCTGAGCCTGTTCGAAGAGTACTCAGATAAGCTGGAATACATGGGTGCTCTGCTCGAAGAAAATTTATTGTTAAGTGCAAAAAATAGAAACCTTATTCTTTCTTTTGTAAAATCAATGGTAAATAAGCCCGAAGCGTGTTGGAACCATGTCTAATTTGCAGATGAAAGCAAATTTAACGTTTTGGGTTCAGATGGGCATACAATTGTATGGAGAAGAAATAATGAGGAACTTTAATCCCAAGAACTTGATTGGAAGAGTAAAGTATAGCTGTGGATGTGTTCTTGTTAGGGGGTACATGTGAGCATCAGGATTAGATAATTTAGTATACATTGATGGCATAATGAAGCATGCTTTTTATTCAAATATTTTAAAAGATAATTTAAAATTATCAACCCAAAATTTGGGTATAAAAACAACTTTGCTTTTTTATCAGGATAACGATCCTAAGCACATGGCCCTCAACGTTCGCCATTGGAGAGTCTATCATTGTCCACAAATTCTGAAAACACCACCTCAGTTTTTAACCCTTTTAATCAGTGGATTAAAATCCGATAGAATATGGAATCAGAGGTTAGAATACGAAGGCACAACATAAAAACGAAAACCGAACTAAAAACTGGAAAGATAGAGGAATGAAGGAACATTAACGCAGATAATTCAAAAAAAAAAAAAAAAATGGTGAATTCTATACCCAAACATTTCAAAGGTGTCATAAATGCTGCAAGATATCCTACAATTACTAACTAACAGAAATATTAATATTTACTAATATGTGCAGATTTCATTAAAGTAGACTTTTGTGAAGTAAATGTTTTGTTACTTTTATTATTGATTTTAAAAAAAGAAAACTTTTACTATTTTCATAAAAAAACTAATGTATTTTTGCTAAGGGGGATTCTTAGGTATTATTAAAAAATTCTCATTCTCAACTATTAATTTTTATTAAAGAGTAAAGCAATATTTTACTGAAACTCGGAAGTGTACGAACACCTTGGGGAACCACTGTATGTACAGAAACCAAAGATTTATTACTAAACTTGATTAAAGTTTAGTAATAAACCAAAGACTTGTAAGAGTACTAAACTTATTAAAGTTTAGTAATAAACCTTTATTACAGTTTAGTAATAAACCTTTATTACAGTTTAGTAATAAACCAAAGATTTATTACTAAACTGTTTCCATAGAGGCTGTTAAGAATGCATTAGATATAAAACTCTTAAGATTTTTAAACGTTTTTATATTTAAGGAAAAAAAAGAGAAAAGAGAAAAAGCCAAATTTAACACACATCATTGTTATATTATTAATTAACTTCACTATTAACTGTTCAAGGAAAGAAATTTGGCAGAAAAATTCCACATTTTCTCGTGATCACATTATTTAAACTTTTTAACATAGTTACATCACGAAATAGCAATATAAAACAAAATAGAAACTTCTGCTGTCAGCGATAAAACATATGTTTATTTATATTATGATGGAGATATAGGTGTTAAATACTTATTGTCCAAGATTTATTTAGAATAGTTAACTATAAATATAGTGCACTAGTAGGCTCCCGAATCTCTAGTGAATCGAATAAGTGAGCTTTCTAATGTTTACTAAAATAAGTTACTAACCTTTAGGATAAGTAAAATCAAGATCTGAAAGATTTTGTCTCAACTCAAATTCAATACCCTACACATTTAAGATGTGTAAAAGGAAAGCACATTTCACGCATTTAAGATGTGTGAAAGAAGAGCTGAGTCTAAGTTTGTTCAAATATGTTTTAAGTTAAAATGACCAGACAACGTACCTGAATCCTATCTAATGTTCAACACTTGTTTTCAATCATTAGTAATTAGCATGGAATAATTTTTAAAAATATTTTTATATACTGATTCTATCTCGCGAGTACTTGGAAAGAAATAAGATATTTTTGGATGATGAGGGATATTAACTCGTCAAGAGACACAGACAGAACAAAAATCTTTTTTTTTTTTTTTGACTGCTTGGTAATCTCTCTCAGAGTGCTTCTGACCGTTCTTAGTACTTTTGTACTAAGTACGGTGCTTCTTAGTACTTTTGTATAAGTGCTTCTTAGTACTTTTGCGTGTTAATTGTTCGTATAAACTTTATAAATAAGCAAAGAAGACAGAAGACCAAAAACAATTAACCAAAAAATTTGGAACCTTTTTAAAATTCTACGCTTACCAATTTTTACATGTGTTTACATGTGAAGACATCCGGAGCAAATTCGTGTATCTTCGTCACATGGATAATTTAATCAATTTACGCGCCAAGTATAAACAGTGTAGAGTACATAAAAATAATATGGCAATACATAACACTCTGTACACATGAATACTGATATATTATATTCGAAAGCATTGTTTGCAAATGCAAACATTGATCAGCTGAGTGCGTCCACGCCACTCACATTTTCTTTCCCTTCCCCCTTCTTTTTTTCTTCGCTTTTTTTTTTTTTTTTTTTTTTTCATCTTTCTGAATTATATTAACCAAGATGCTGATATCACTGCTAATTCTGGAAACAATAACTAAACCAGGCAACTCATGCCCTTATAGCTCATTCATCTCATACTATTTTAAAACTAACATCAAAACAGTTCTCAAAATGCAAATCATAAAATTATATCACAATATAACATCCTATTGATTGTATTTTTGAAAACGTAAAATTCACAATTTTAAATGCATAAAAATAACATCTTACCTCTTTCTCAAAATAAAAGATATAAATTTAGTATTCAATTTTAAATTGCTTTGCAAATCATTGCCATCCTCAGCTTCAAAACAATAAATAATTAAATTAAACATATTGATATTTTCCAGCGCTTTCAAACAACTGAGTTAGTACTTTTGCGTGTTAATTGTTCGTATAAACTTTATAAATAAGCAAAGAAGACAGAAGACCAAAAACAATTAACCAAAAAATTTGGAACCTTTTTAAAATTCTACGCTTACCAATTTTTACATGTGTTTACATGTGAAGACATCCGGAGCAAATTCGTGTATCTTCGTCACATGGATAATTTAATCAATTTACGCGCCAAGTATAAACAGTGTAGAGTACATAAAAATAATATGGCAATACATAACACTCTGTACACATGAATACTGATCAGCAATTTGCCTCTATGGCATACACATATGCTTTTCTGTAATATAGGATACTTTTTAATGGTAGTAACAAATATTGCCATTAATCAAAGGAATTTTGCATTACGATGGAAAATAAGGAAATGTGCCGAAGTGTTCTAATA